AATAAATAAATAAATAAATATATGTGCTGGGATTACATACTGTACAATGGAGGGGAAGGCCCAGAGGCTCCCTTAAGGTGAGTCCAGCTCCTAGTGAGTAGAAGGGCCTATCCATGTAGTTTCCTTGGCAACAGTAAGAAACTGTTCTGCTATCGCTTCTACTTTCCAGCCTGGTCTGGAATAATGCCTTTGGTCTCCTATCAAGTGCCAACCAAATCTCACCATTCTTAGCTTTTTTAAAGCATGGCTGGCTAACAGGTGGGCTGGGTTGAAAAACAAAGAACTTTGAACTATGGAGATGGTGGGGGGCCTCTAAGTGCTGCTCGGCACTTCCTCTCTGGTGATGGGATGGAATGATCACTGTTACCTAGTCATGATGTTCCTCGGTGTGGTGAGACATTATTTAAATTGTAATAATTATTCATCTGTATATCTACGATTCTCTTTTGTCCTCCGGTGCCATTCTTTGAAATGAGGTATCCCAGTGAACCAGGAAGGGTTTACCATACAAACGCCACCACTGGCAGAGGGAACAGAAAGTAAAAGGAAACAGCGGACAATTACGAGTCTTGGATCCAAGTAAAACAAGCAGCCCCATATGAAGAAAAATGTCCTTGTTTCAACTAAATTGGCACAGTTGATTGGCACATGACCAGTAAGGAGCTTACTAAGGCCAAAGGGAGGGTGATGGAGCAGTGCTATTTCTAGCCTCAAAAGGAAAGCCCCACTAGCTCCATGTATCTAAAGGTGGTCCTTGTTTAATGATCACTCGTTCAGGAACCGAACTTATGACAGCACTGAACAAGTGGTACTTATGACCAGTCCTCGTAGTTGTGCCCATCACAGTGCCCCATGTTCATGTGATTGCAGTTTGGGCACTCAGTAACCGACCTGCATTTCCAACCATTGCAGCATCCCACGGTCATGTGATTGTGATTTGTGACCTTCCTTGCTGGCTTCCCACAAGCAAAGTCAATGGAGAAGCTGGCAGGAAGTCAGAAGTTACGGTCATGTGAGGTCCTCGCTTAATGACCATGCAGTCCTCGCTTAACAGCAATTGGGACTGCCAGGACTGCCAGAACTGCTGTCATTAAGCAGTGCAGTCATCATGCTGAACAACCACGTCACTTAGTGCCAGAATTTCTGGTCCCAGTTACCATCATTAAGTGAGGACTACCTGTATCTATTCAACAGGAATGTAGAAGAGGCTCCTAGCCTTCAGGTTTGGAGGGCTGGGGGAGAAGAGGAACTAGACGGACATCTGAGGGAGGAAGTGTGTGCCAAAAAAGTCAGGATGGTGACTCTGATTGTATAGTCACAGTCACCATCTTGACTCTTTTGATCATCACACGCACACACACAGACATCCCTGAGAGGAACCAAATTGATCAAGAGATCCAAAGTAGAAAAAGCCAGCTAGACCACTGTCTGCTCACTGCAGGAATCCTAAGTAAAGCATCCCTGATAGATGGCTGTCCAGACTCCTTTCAAACACATCTAAAGTTCACACATTACTCATCATTTCACTGGGTGATTGGTTCCACTGTAGAATTATTTTATTGTTAGGCAGATTTTTTTGTCACATTCAATTGCAGTCCTCCATTTTTCTTCTCACTGGAATTGCTTCCCATTGTGCAATTCCATTCCATAGTAGTTGCTTGTGTAGGTACTCCTGATATGCTGAGGTTAAGTTTTACTGTGGTGATCTTTAGTAGAATGTGATGTGTTTACAGAAGTATTCAATGTATCAGCATGTCTGGTGTGAATATAGCTATTAGGAGAGTGAATTATGCTAAAAAGAGGTGAGAAGAATGATTCAAACTTTGTTTGGCTGTTGGGCCTTGCTGTATTGTTAGAAGAACAGGAGCAGAGCACCCCAGATGAACTTCTAGATAAAATATTGGCAAGATATCAGTCTCATCCAGATGAATTGTCCAGAAGACCTGGAAGACCTGCAATTTTCTTGGGGGTTTCTCCATCAACTGCTGCTGTTGACCTGGGTCCCACCTTGTAGGGCTTCTTTGCTTTGATTCCTGATCTTCCAAGCTGAACAGGTCATTCAACTAGTTTCTGAAGCTGATGCTGAAATCTATTGAACAGGACTGTTCATTAAATCCATACAATCACAGGATTGTAGAATTTGAAGAGACCACAAGGATCATCTAGTTCAGTGTTTCTCAACCTTGGGAGCTTGAAGATGTGTGGACTTCAACTCCTAGAATTCCCCAGCCAGTCCACACATCTTCAAGCTGCCAAGGCTGAAAAACACTGATTCTGGTCCAACCCTCTGCTGTCTACAGGAAACTCAGTTAACCATCCACGAGAGGCAGCTGTCCAGCTCTTTTTAAAAACCTTCAGAGATGGAGAATCCACAACTTCCATAGGTATATTGTTCTACTGTTGTTCAGATCTTGTTGTCAGAAAGTATTTTTCTTATATTTAAAGGACATCAAGATAGTTGCCACCCATTATTCCTGGTCTTAGTTTTAGTGGCAGTGGAACAGTTCCTGATCATCTGCGCTATGGAAACCTTTTATGTATCTGAATATGTATATCATGTCTCCTCTTGTCCTCCAGACTGAACACCCTCTGTTGCTTCAACCAGTCTTCACAAGGCATGTCTTCAAGCCTCTGTAACATCTTTGTTGCTATCATCTAACCCAGTGTTTCTCAACTTCAGCAACTTTAAGATGGGTGGACTTCTGGAAGTTGAAGTCCACCCATCCTAAGTTGCTGAGGTTAAGAAACACTGGTCTAAACCATCTGGTCTAAGAAGAAGAATTCTAGGGTGCCTATAGTACCACAAAAACAAAACCATAAAAAAGAAGACGGAAAGAAGAAAGGAGCCAATATAGGTTTTGACCCCACTCAGTTTTGGTTTCCATTAAGAACCAAGAACTCCAACATTCTGTGGCTACTTTTCCCCAGTATTCCTCTTCTACAAAGAAAGATGATCATGAGAAATTGTTCAGACATTTACACAATTATATACTGGGTAGAAATCATTTTATTTCTCCTAGTCCTGTGGGACTATTGATTGTTTTGATTTACATCTTACCTTTCTATACAGTCAAATTACTGAAGATGAACTGTAACTAAAATCCAAATTAGATTTAAAAAAAAAATTATAAAGCTCTGGCAAAAGAAATACTTCTTGACTGCTGTTTTGAAAGCAGAGAAAGAGGGAAATGAAATCAACTCAAAATTGGGCACAACCAAAACAGCAGTAACAGCCTCTCCCAAGAACACAATTGAGAGATGGAAGCTTGGTTAGATAGATAACCAGGTCTGACCAGCAAAAGAGTGTTCACAAAGAGGCTGGAGGGTCCCTGTCAAGCATGGTGGACGCCTGTATTAGCCGAGGTGAAGTAGAGGGCCTCTAACATCCTGTCCAACTCATGCATTCTATCATTCTAAGCAGCAGCATCTATGGGAAGATCTCAGACTGACAAGGCCAGTGTTATGGCATCAGAGCACAGGCTCTGCCCCTTTTCTATGTGGGCAGTGAAGTCACATGGACACCCAAAAGGGGTGGAGCTTGTGCTGTGACACTGCTTTCGCCATTTTGATCAAAGCAGCAAGATCCTACTGATTTTAAACGAGCATTATTGACATGCTGTTGCTGGCATGCAGTTCAGGAAAAGGGATAAGAGGATGAACCCATTCACAAGGATGAACCCATCATTGAAAAGGACGAAATTGGAAGACATTGGCCAGAAAAATTATTGTGCTGATTTGGATGCAAAGGGACAACTATGGAATAGAAGTGAAGCAGAAATGACATTTCTATTTGTGACAGTAAGGAAAATGTGCCTGCTCTCTATTTAGTCTCCAGGGTCTAAAAAATGCCCTTTTGTGCCCTTTACATGGATCTTAGCTTGTAAAATAGGCATGGGTTGGAAAGCCTTCTAACAGAGGACTGTCTTCCAACAGCCTTTCATCCAGGGCTGTGTAATAGGATGACCCATGGCCAACTTAATTCAGGAAAAGGGATCTAGGGAAAATGGCTGGAAGAATTGTTGATTCCTGCCCACATCTAACCTTTGCTGCACAAGGCAGCTACCCTTCCTGCTTCCTTGGAACCATCCTGATAAAATGCTGGACCTGATTTTCTCTAAGAACTTTTTCTCTAAACATTGCATTTTAATTTCTTTTTTCTCCCACTCTAGGATCACTAGGGCTGTGGTCAGTTGTACAGAGATATTGCTGGCACTTCCAACACCAAAGTGTTCAGTCCAATTGTTTTTGTCAAGATTGAATGGGATATGGGGTTTTTTATATAAAATAAGGGTGGGACGTCTCCAAGAGACTTAGCATCTTATTTTAAGTCTTAAATAGGTTTTCAGAAGACCCCCCCCAAAAAAAAGCACACCATCCAAAATAGCCATGTTGTCACTGAATTTGGCGGTGCGTTCAGAGAGGTTGTGGGTCCACTAAAATGTTGCTTTGGTGGCCAGAAGTGACTCATCACTTGACTAGTTACATCTGGTTCTAAGGAGCCATCAGGATTCTTCGTATCTTTTTACCCACCACAACACCACACCGGCTCTCTTGTTCGTGACTTAATTTTGGAGGGCAAGGAGGAAGGGCTGGACAGGACATGGTTCCTCTAGTCTGTTTGGCTGCTGTGCTGAAAGCAGAATCGTGTGTGCTGTTAACAAACAATCATGTCTTTAGGTAATAAACATTACTTTGGGTCAGTTCCATTCTCTGCCAAGAGATGTGGCTGACGTCTTTCAGAGGGTCCTCTGAGACCGAGTTAGCGAAGGGGAGGCAGTGTTGGCCTTGTTTTGACAAGGGGGTTATAGTTGGCCAGAGCAAAACAAACAGGGAAAGAGGAAGCATTCTCTGATTCACTGATAACAATACTTCTCTCTTGGAAAGGTGACTGTGTTATGCTAACCCATAACCACTAGCTCTTCCAACAAAGCAGGAAGGAAGCAAGGAGCCGAGTGGGAGGAAGTATTAATCAGATGTAATATAAACAGTTCAAGATGTATGTCCCCACCCAGCTGAACCCAAAGGCTGAATCGTGAAGTTACCAAGGTAGTTGATGACATGATGGAGAAGAATGCATACACCATGGCCACCCTGGGCCTGGAGGCCAAGAATGGCCTTCAACCAAAGCGGGATTGTGGCTTCTATATGAAATATTTCTTCCTCTTCCTCTCCCTCATCCAGTTCCTTATCATTTTGGGATTGGTACTTTTCATGATCTACAGCAATCCCCTGGAGGGCACCGAGAAACATCTCCAGGGGCTGACGAACCAGCTGCAAGAGAGCGACAAGAAGATCAAAGTCCTCAATGAAGAGATTGGCAAACTCAAGCGCCAGGTTAATGCCACTGAGAGGGATGCCCGCCTGTTACAGACTCAAATGTTCAGGTTAAACACCACCTTGAGGCTTTGCAATAATGAAAAGGTAAGTCCTTGGGGGAGGAAGAACATAGAGACAGATGGCCTTCAAGTTGCAATGAGCATCAGATTCATTTATCACCATGAGAGTGAGTTCCTTTTCTAAAGGCAGGGCAAAATGATAATAAGAGCACAGACAATGAGGATGGATTATGAAATATATGGAAGACTATTAAATAGGGGAATATAAATTAATTAAATAATAATTTTTTTAACCTGATTTCATCTCTTTATGGAGTTTGCTGTTATTTCTGGTGACAATTACTTGCTTAGATGTAAAGCCAACACTTTCAGTGAAGGTGAGGGGTTTGGGAGAGACACTTTTGTAAGGGCAAGGCTATTAGTCATGATTGCTATGTTAAACTTCCATATTCAGAAGCAGCTGCTGAAGTAGCAGATTTTTTTTTTTTTTGGTCCGTTCAGTCGTGTCCAATTCTCAGAGACTGCCTGGACAAGTCCCTGCAATTTTCTTGGCAAGTTTTCTCAGAAGTTGTTTGCCCTTGCCTCCTTCCTAGGGCTGAGAGAGTGACTGGCCCAAGGTCACCCAGCTGGCATTGTACCTAGGTGGGACTAGAACTCAGGGTCTCCCAGTTTCTAGCCTGATGCCTTAACCACTACACCAAACTGGCTTTCTAGAAGTAGCAGATACCAGAGAATAAATGCCAAGGAAAAGTAGTTTTTCTGCTTTGGGCATCTGGTTTGCCATAGTTGGAAATAAGATGCTGTGCTGGATTCTTTGAGCTTCAGATGATAACACTGGGACTTAACCAGCACAGCAGATACTCTGCAATCCCCAGATCTGTTCAGAACTTTTCTGCAGACTTTCTCCAGTCCTAAGAACTTGGGGGGAAAATCCCTTCTAGGACATTGAACCCTTGCTGACAAGCAAAACTCTTGACAAGAGGGATGGTATTTAGAATACTTCTGAAGGCAGAGTTCAAGTAGATTGACTCCAAGAGGTAGAGATACACAGACCCATGGAAAGTGACCAGCTCCTTGCAAGAGAAGGTTAAAAATCTGGAGTGGTCAGTTTCAGAACAATCTTCTCCCAAAGAGTGGAGAATGGCACTTGTGGGGAAACAGCCAATGAGATTGTCTGGGCAGTGGGGCATTTGTGCCCAACCAGGCCTGGAAGAACCATTGTGACACGGTGTTTCCCACTGCATTTCTCTGGAGACAATGACTTCTTCATGTAGCTTGTGACATTTAATTCATGTACGGATTGGATATTTTTGAATGAGATTCTATATAAACCATATGCTTTCACAATCAGAGTTGTATTTGTGTGTCTACTGAGGCTGACTTACTAGATTAATTTCTTAAAACTCATACAAGTCATTGGTTCATATCTATTTAATTAGAGGAGGCTTTGAAGATGAGAGCCAGAAGGCTGGAAAGCAAGTCAGTGGCTTTCCAGTTATCCCCCATCAGCCATTAAGGAACTTAATGTTCTTTCCATCCTTCTCCAGACAAAGCTGAAGGAACAACAGCAGAGCAATACAGCAGCTCTCATATCAGCAAATGATTGTAGATTCAGCTTGCAGCTTTTGAATATCACTTGTGTTGGTGAGTATCGCAAACCCATCTTTAGTCGTGGCTCTGTAACGCACGTACAGAGACTTCAGTGATCCCTTCTACAGTGATGTTTTTCTATCGGTATCTCTTTCTGATTTCTCCTTTCAAGTACAAAATGTTTGAGACTTCTTTGGGCTGTCTTTGAAACAGTTCAAGAGGTTTGTTTGGTGCAAAATGTGAACGTTTGGATGGTGGGTGGGCCAACAAACCAGAGAACTGATTTTATGCCATCCACAAGCGATGGTGATAATCTTCCACTCCCTAATTCTGGTGTCTGACCATGCCCTTCTCAGTAGTGTTATGTGACGTTGTAGCTCTACATAGTGACTTAGGTCAATTATATGTAGTCTATATATATATTCTTCTGATTATGATGGCAAAGAAATCTGTGGTGGTGTGGTGGAAGAAGAGAGTTCTTAAACATGTCTGGTTTGCAATTTTGACGGGCTGGCTTTCATGCTTGTCTCATACTTTGTTCTACAGCCCAGGTGAGCTCTCTGGAGAAGAAGCTGGTGGCCTTGGAGCTGAAGAGCCAGATGGAGCGAGACAGCTTAAGTCGGGACAGCAAGTCTTGGCAAGACAAAGCCGAGAAGGCAGAAAGAGAGAAGAATGAATGCCAGCTAGCCAAACTCCAGCTGCAAACGCGGGAGCAGAAGTACCAGGAGCTGAAGTCTACAGTGATGCAAGAGTTAGGACCTCTTCTTCAGAACCTGAGGACTTCAGCAGAGCAGTTTTTTACCTCCTATGAGATCCGTGGCTGTTACCGTCATGAGATTGAAACCACGTTCCGCTCTGTCTTCAGAAGTCTACAGACCCAGTTTGATACTCAGGCACAGAATCTCGACCAGAAGGTCAGCGAGGTGACTCAGGAGAACGCCTTGTTGCAAAGCCAGAAAGCTGCCTGTAAGCAAAACTTGCAGGATCGGGAACAGCAGATCAGCCTGCAACAGCAGCAGTTCGAGTGGCAGAAGCAGGCCCTCCAAGAAGCTCAAGAGTCTCAAACCCAGAAAATAAGAGGCGAATACAAGAAGATGCTTGAGGAGAACGAAAGCTTGAAGCAGCAGCTCCAGCAGAGCAAGCAGGCCTGCATCAACATGAGGGTAAACAAAGACCCCAACTTCTGCTCCTCATGGGCAGAGTTCAGCCCCTGGCATCTCCACTAGACCAGATCTCAGCAGCCCTGTGATTCTGGAGGCAGCTTCTGCCAGATTGAATAGATGGCCCTGGGCTATAGAAGCATCTACAAGGGATGGGGGCTGCCAAAAAAAAGTCAGGATGGTGGCTGAGGCTGTGAGATAGAAGCCCTGCTGTACCAGTGTTGTCCAAGTGACCCGTGTAAAAGAGGAGTGGGTCCTCAATTGCATAACTGGAAGCACCATCATGACCTTCTCACCTGCCCCCAAGACGCTTCTGGTTGGAAGGACTGGTCCGAACAAGACTAGGAATCCAAGCCCAGGAATATCTCCTCCTATAAGGGAGAAAGGATTCGGAATAATTTAGGGCTGGGGCAGGCTAGCATTGAAGTACTATAGATGGTTTGTAGAAATAAGCAAATCTGTTTAAAAATCTATTTTTTAGGAAATGCCCATTTGATCTTTTGGGTCTATGTTAATCCAGTATCTCTGCTATCCTGTACCTCCCCTGCATTCCACTCACTTACGTTACCTTAAAGCAGTGTTTCTCGACCTTGGCTACTTTAAGATGTGTGGACTTCAACTCCCAGAATTCCCCAGCTAGCATGACTGGCTAGGGAATTCTGGGAGTTGAAGTCCACACATCTTAAAGTAGCCGAGGTTGAGACACACTGCCTTAAAACTTAAAGAATTTTCTAAACTAGAAAAGGGGCTTAGTGTGGCAATAGAACAAAAAGATAATAAAGGAAGAGGAAATTAGGAGGGGCTGTCTCTGAATTTGGAAAATGCCACAAGATTCTTTGTAGGATTTCAGGATGCTAAAGACATCTTTTATTACTGGCATGGATGGAAAAGAAAACATGTAAAATATGAAACAAGATAACTTTTTAAGAAAAATGAGCCCTGGGAAGTCAAATAGAGGTTTCACTTACTCTCATTTGTTTAGTCTATTTCTGTAATTAGAGGCCCAGTTTAAATTGACTGGCCTGATTTTTACAACTACATGATCATGCTGTTGAAATTAGGAGATGAATTGTCAATTTTGAGTGGTGTAATTTTTCATTTTTTAAAAAAATAGGTTGCTGGTGGGTGCATTCAGGTTTTGGAAAGCTTAACACACCTATTATTTTAAATATTTTTTTAAAAAACTCCCTGAAAATAAAACACACAGGCTTAAAACTTTAAGGGGCAGAATCGTGGCACTTGTCACAAAAAGGTTATGGATTTAGAGTCATCGAGTTAACTAGAGCAGTGGATTCAAGATAGACAAATAAACTTCACACTGCAGAATTCTCTTATGGGGCTCAAGGCCCCTGAGATTATAAAAGGAAATAAGGTAAATTCATGGCGGATGGCTTTTAAAATTAGGGCTAAATGGAAACTCGATGTTTGGTGGCAGTCTACATTTGAAGGCCAGCTGTTTTTGGAGAGGGAAAGCAGATAAAGATCCATGCTTTGCTTTGCTTTGCTTTGCGTTTCCTCATGTCTGGCTAGTGCTGGACCCAGAATGCTGGATGAAATGGACCTTCAGTGGAGCTTACGCTTTCCAAGAAAATACAGCGTATTCCTCTTGAGCATTCACACAATAAAGGAGGGAGGGTTGCCATTTCTCCTCCCTGGATCTATGCATTCAATTCTAAATAAAAATCAACACAGGATTTGCTTGTTCCACAGATCAACACTTTAGCTCCAGGCAACACAGCTGTGAGGAACCCATCAGGTCTGACACCTTTTAGTGCACCTAATGCCTTTGGCTCCTATCCAAGGAGTTTTGGGAACACGGGAAGTCTCGGGAATCCTGGAGGAGCTGCAGCAAACCCTAATCCCTTCAGCAATCCAAGCCAATGGGGGAGGCCAAGCTCACCTGCTCAGCCAAGTTCTGGGTCTCCGAGAAGTCTAAGCCCTGCTGGTAAGTAATCGGTTCCTGGAAAGAATGGGGGTTAGTTCCCTAAGATGCCTCACACCAGCCTGAGAACTCATGTCCTGCCACTCACAGCTGGAGATCCCACCTTTGCAGGATACAGCAAGGCGCTCAGTGCTTTAGCTTTGAATGTATTTAAGACTGCAGGGATGGAATTATTGCTTCGGCTGCTAGCAAACTGTATGGTTGTATTATCAGTCTTATGAGTCTGAAGGGTACCATCGTGGGTAAGTTTCTTTCAGGCTACGGATTATTTTGAAAGCAAACTTCAGATATTTAAAGTCCTTAGCTCATTCTAAAGAGATACAGCTTATTTTCCTGCTATGATTGCAGTTCACATGCCTTTTGGCAGACAGTACTTATTTTGTTTTAAAATAGTTCATGACCAGTTTTTCCTTACTGCGATACACAGCAAGGACTTGAGGGCTCCATCTTAAGTTTACTTGGGTGACAAATAGGGTAATATTGACTCCGCTCCTTAGGCAATTGAAAGAAATGACCAATATCGGTAAATCCAGTAGAGAAGTCAATTCTGTTATCTACCAATCAGAGTTTGTTGAAGAGAATTCAGCTTGGATCAGATTCCAGCCCCCACCCCCCAATGCCCCCATAGCTGAAACCTGCAATTGCAAGCAAAGTTTAGAGATCTCAGCAGTGGACACAGGAGGTCATCCAGATAAAGCATTCTGCCATCAGCCTGAGAGGGGTTGGATCATGTATAACATTGCTAAATATAGCACAGTACTGCTGAACCCATCTCTCAAATGGGATTAACCTACCCACCCCAGAAGCACTTTTGGAAAAAAATAGGCTCAATCTACCAAATGCTGTACTTATCTTTAATTGATTGTTCCATCCTAGCCTCCAGCTTTTACCTTTCAAGCAGGACCTTATAGAACTTTTCCAGATCAAATACCGCATCACTCAGTGTCCATAATTATCATTAAAGGCCCTGTAAACTGAAATTAGTTTAGCCTTGACTTCAACCCATTCTTGATTGTATCAGAACTTTGTTTTACACTTAATTCTACTGTTCTTACCTGGAACCTTAGCCATTACATTTTTAGGTAATGTCAGTTATTTGGTGCAAAATGTCTAATACTTCTATCTCATCTTTTATGACTCAATGAGCTGTTAAAGTGGGAAACTATTGGTGATTGAAAATGATGGGCAATACCCCTTTTAAATTCTCTGTAACATGTAATCTCGTCATTCCTCTCCAGAAAGATTTTCTCCACACAATTATGTTCCAGCCAGCTAGTTGTCAAGCTGGAGACTAATCTTCCAGAAAGTATGGAATGATTGCTGTTAGGGTGAAAACAATTTTAAAGGGCGTAATCTTGTTGGTTAAATTTGGGGATATTATTGTATAGTCAATGGTCCTAGTACCTGTAAAACCGCAAAATGTGATTTTTTGACCTCAGGAGGTCATTCACCAACCCATTTAGACTAGAATTAATTTGGTGATCGATTATTTAATTACTACATTTATCCCCCACTTTCATTCTGGAGCTCAAGATGGTTAACCAAGATGGTGAACATAGCACTTATTCCATCTGATTTTTTTCCCATAACAACAACCCTCTAAGATAAGTTGGGCTGAGAGAGAGTGACTGGCCCAAAGTCACCCAGGGAGCCCCTGTGCCTGGGGGTGGACTTGAATGTGGGTCTCTTTGCTCCTTCTCTAACAACTACTGTACCATTCTGGCTCTCCATTTAGGCGAGCCACACACACATCCACACACATTATTAGTTCCCTTATTGTTTGCACAGTAGAGCATAGGGAGGTATAGACCACTGGGCAGATGTCACACTACTGTATGAAAATGAGAACAAAGGATTTCATTATTAGGGCCCAATCTAGCATTAAAGTTACCAGCAAGAATTAAATTAGAATTTGGGTACATTAGAAACAATTCCAATAGATAATCCTCAAACTCAGTTGTTATTAGTTTGGTCTGGTAACTTAGATAACAGAAAATAAATGTTAATTTCAAACTAGTGGCCCTAGCCAGAGAATCACCCATGACTGGGATGAATAAAAATCAGGAAGAAGGAGAAGAATAGACTAAGAATGCACTCCAGACAGCTGAGCCATTGGAAAGATTGCAAAATACTGAAATTTGAGGGCTTCCATCAGTTTAAGAGTGTATAAATGCAAGTGACAATGATTTATTCCATTTAAGCAATATATTTAAGCTCTTAGAAAAGTGAGCTGGAAGATATTCCAATCTCTTCCAGCAGCAGTTCAACGGCTGACTAATCTATTAAGTGACAATATGTCCCCAAAGATCCCCAGCTGAATTTTCCTTCAGTGGATCTTGTAGTAAGTCAGAGTCTTTTACCAGCAGAAACTGTGGCTTAAATTTCCCAAAAGCTGTTTAAAGTGCTATTTTGAAAATCAAAGTGAAAAGGAGAGAGGTAAAGAAACAGACAGCCACCTAACTAATGAAGCAGAGAAAGGCTCTTGCAGCCCATCTACAGAATTTAGATTTTCTAGACCTTCTACTTGAGAATTTGGAAGTGACCCTTATGGAATGACTCTTGGATGCTCAACAGGAGATCTTGCTGATCTAGAATAAAGCAGGAGGAGTAATTCTTCCTTCATGAACTTATTGGGTACAGTTGACATCATCCTCTGATAAGTGATCTGTGAAGAGGTAGTAAAGTTTAATGATGTTCATTACAGGCTACCACTAGCTTAAAGGATAGAGCAGATCAGGAAGGACTTAGCATTGTAATTTTGGTCAAATTCAGGCCAATAAGAAACCTAAGTGACACCAGCATCTAATTAAAGCAGGGGAGGTAGAGTATGAGACACACTGGGATTTATTATCACTTAGAAGCTCCAAATTGGGGAATGGAACATAGCCCAGCTCTCAATTTCTCCTGGACAGCCACTGCTTTCTGATTCTTGTTCCAAATTAAACCACTACCCTGAGTTCATTCCCAGTTTTTCCTTAACATATTTAAAACGCGTGAATGTGAATTGCTAGACTAATTGTTCTTCAAGATTGATATGGCCACTTTGACTAGAGTGGTCTTCTGCAAACTGGTGACTTCCAGATGTGTTGGGATACACCTACTGAAGAGTTTTTTTTACCCAAATATTTTAGAGAGGGGAAAAGTAAGTCTCGTGCTTGTGGTAGGAAGGGTGATGATCCTTTCATTAGCATGTGCAAATATGTATCTGCTTTTTTCTCTAGAACAAAACAGAATCCATGAGATCTTGAAGGCTGCTGCAGAGACTGGAAAGCTGTCAAAGCCGGCAATGAACCCAGTGGGGCAGCCCAGGTATAGTCATGAATCTGTGGTTTTCAAGTTTCCTGATCAATGGGCAGAATCAGGTTAATTTAAGTGGGTTAGGGAGCAGAGTTTCTGCAAGGGTTGGCTGGTTTTGTACCAGAGGCATAAAAACATAGTCCCTCCTTAACTTGAAATGCTTGGTCTCCTTAACAACATGTCTGAACCTGACTCTGAGGTGAAAATAAAATCAGAAACAAACATGAAAGATAGCAGCTAGGGATCTCAGATAATCAGCTTATGAGAAGTAAAGCCACATAGTGGGATGATACCCATAATCTCAGAAGGTTTCAAAAGATAATTGAAAATTCATGGAGGAGGAAGAGAAAGGGGTTTGGATTAGTTCAAAGTTAGTCACATGATGGCTAAGCAGACTCTCCAGAATCAAAAGCAGACCATCTCTAAGAGGTACTGAGAAAGGAAAGGCTGTAGAGCAGGGTTCCTCAACCTTGGCAACTTTAAGACGGGTGGACTTCAACTTCCAGAATTCCCCAGCCAGCAAGGCTGGAAGTTGAAGTCCACCCATCTTAAAGTTACCAAGGTTGAGGAGCCCTGCTGTAGAGTGCATACATTGTTTTTGTGTGCTTCCCAGGAACATCCAGCTAGTCGCTGGGAGGAACAGGATGTGGGATTAATATCAGCCTTGATATGTGTCCCGATTCTAATGACTGGTCAAGTTATTCTGACAACCCCCTTAATTCTTTCCCTGTGTTTTGCTTTTCTTATCCCAGAACCTAAAGGAAATGATGACAAAGGCCATTAAGAATCCAAGAACAGCTCCTGGGCATAAGACTGAAGTGTTGAGTGGGGGATCCATGACTGGAAAACATTCACCTCTGTGGAACAGACTTCAAGCAGAAATAGAAAAGCGAAGCCCTAGAAGAGCTTTGGGGGCAGTGGGGCAGATCCCAAGTTGGTCCTGCCCTCTTCTCTAACATAACTGATGTTTAATTCTAGCTCAGTCTTGCAGACTGCTGTCTTTCACTGATCCAACATTGATTTCCTGCAGTAGCTTTTGGTCCATTCAAGTATCTTATTTTTTCATCTTCATCAGGTTGAGTGGTCCATTGGTGAACCCTCCACATCAGTCGTTCTATCTCAGACTTCTTACTTGTAGAGTTATTGTGAAGATAGAATGTAATCCCTGTGACTTCAGCTAGGTGAGATATGAATGCAACCCGTAAATATTTTCAGTGATTTCACACAGCCACTACACTCTTTCAAAATGAAAACAAAAAGGATGGAAATTATAAATGCACTCTTCATGTAAAAGAAGAATTATTGTTCCTACAGTTTTGTAAGATACTATGGCACATTTATGTATATAGCTTTATGTAGGCATGCACACATATATTGGAGAAGTTGTGTTTCTCTTGGTTATTAGCTGGGACGGAGACTCCATGTTTGCCACTGGCATCTGATTATCCAGTGCTCAAGAACAAAGTCTTTCTCTGTGCTGTCCCACCAAGGTTAATTACAATGATGTCAGATAACAGATTTGGAAAAGCTCTTTCTCTACCCTGAAACCCTAAAGAACTAAATAGTACCAAGCAGGGTGGATCTGTGGCCTATCAGTGAGGGCAACTCTCTGTCTCTATGACCCTGTTTTGGGATTTCTGGAGGCATCAAGGCTGGCCTGGTTAGAAACAGTTTGGATAGGCCTTGGTTTGGTCAGTAAACCCATCTATGTTTGTTCCATTATAATAACAAATCCTTTTGTGAAGAAAAAAGTGCTATTTACTAAATATATTCCATTCAAATGATTAAGAGGAATAATGTGGGCTATGGAAGGTGCACGACTAATAAACATCATATGAAAATCTAGCAGGAATAGTGCTTGATTTTGATAGAGCTGTGTTTCTTGCCTCTTTGAACACTCATTGGAAAGTGAGTTGTTTATGAGAAGGAACAGGAGTGACCCAGCATTACAGCACACACTGCTTTGTCAACTTCCCCACCTCCTGCCCACAAAAATCTTTATGTTGCATGACAGAGTTTCAGTTTTCTGCTGGCAAGCAAGATTTCTTGTTGAGAAATTCCAAATAGGGCAAGAGCAAATTACTAGATATGCAGGCTTCCTTTCTAGGCAGTTGAGATATGTGGATGGCCTTGGCTCTGATTATGCTGGGAAGAAGAGGTAAACACTTCCCCATGCTGCATTTCTTGAAATAATACTGCTGTCTCTCCCCCCACTCCACTCCTGATATTAGGAAGCAAAGCTTTGATAGCTGATGTTGCATCAAGACAATGTTTCTCAACCTTGGCAACTTTAAGATGGGTGGACTTCACTTCCCAGAACTGAAGATGGGTGGACTTCAGCTCAAGAATTGAAGGTGGGTGGACTTCAACTTCCAGAATTTCCCAGACAGCATGGCTGGCTGGGGAATTCTGAGAGTTGAAGTCCACACATCTTAAAGTTGCCAAGGTTGAGAAACACTGCATCAAGGGAGTATCAACTGTGGTCTAGGAGGATTAAGTTTGTTTCTGAGAAAATCCGAATCTACATGCACCAATAAAAGCAATAGCAGGAAAAGAAAGAATCCAAAATTGAAAAGCTGGGGTTAGGGTTTTGGAAAGAATTTTCCTAAGGCTTGAGCCTAAGAAGCATAGTTTTATAATAAGTACAATTTAGCTTCGTTCTTTTTTTTTTAGCAAAAGCCTGAAAGCAAAGAATAACGTGTTGGAAAAGGGAGGGGGTAAGTTGAGGAGCAAAGAATGTGAGATGACAGTGCCTAGTTGAAGCGAAGCAGAGTCACTTCATATTTGAATGGAGAGCCACTGGAAATACCATGGTGGTTAGCTAGGTAAGGAAGTGGGGGGGCGGGGAATTATAGAAGAAAGAATGGAAAAGGACATTGGTTTGTTGTGACATGGTTGCATCCATGAACTGATCAGGAGTTGAACTCAATTTGCGGGTTTTCCTTGTTTTAGAGAGACGCTCCACCTAGCCCCAACAATTAAAGCTCCTCAATCTCCAATAGACCCTGCCTTGGTTTTCTTACATTTCACATAGATGTCTACCTCTTCAGCTCTGTGTGCCCTCTGAATTGCAAAAAAAATTCTCTTCCATGGGAATCAGTGGTGGATTTGTCTTGACTCTTGGGAAGGGCCACGGCTCAGCCACAGAGCATTGCCTTTGAAACGGGCAGGGGAGAGGGGAAATGATGGTGTGCATGGGTTATCTGGCAGATGCCGCAATTTACATACTCTCATCAGATGTCAGGTGGCGAGTACATGATGGCAGCATTTCTGTGGATGACATCAAGCGCATGTTGTCATTTTGACCCCAGTGTGGTTCGCTGGGGGCACTGCTGCTAAGCCACAATGTAGTTTCCTTGGCTTTGATTTAACCTCCATGAATCGAATCATTGTGGTTTGTAAAACACAATTTATAGTTAATATTTTATATGAGTCTACCTAGTTTGGGTTTACTTGAACAAGCCACGGATAAACAAAACAAGGCTTAGGGTGCTCTGTGAACATAGCCAGAACTTTCATCCGTCAACAATTTATTTATTTATTTATGTATTTATCGAACTGAATTTATTTATTGAATTTAGACAGCTACCGATCTCATGCATGTGACTCGGGTCGGCGTACACAATGAAAACACAGAGCTAAACAATTCAAACGTAACCATTAAAAACCAGTTAAAATGGACATTGGGTGGAGAAAAGCTGGGATGGAAGAGAGGAAAAAGAGATGGACAGGCAGCAAACAATGTAGGCAGAAGATGACCTGCCATCCTCTTCAAGCTTTCTCGTGGTTCTCTTGGTGGATCAAAATTGGCAAGACGGTGGGCGCCTTGATGTGACTGAACCCCCATCGCTTTTGTACATGTGTGCAAAAACCTGCCATCTTGCCCATTTTGCCCCCCTCCCTCCATGGGTGCTTTGGCTGGCTTCTTACAATTCCAATTCCTCTTTTCAAATCTTATAAGCAGCTAGATGGGTGTGCACAGGTGTGAGATATCCATTATGCAAAAATACCACCTGAAAACATTTATAATGTTTAAATGCATTTATATTTTACCCTCTCTCTCTTAAATGCATTTATATTTTACCCTAATTTCCTTCTTTCCATAAACTACCCTTTCTAATCTTCAAACCCATAAATCACAAGATAATTTTTCTCTTTTTTCAGCAAAAAGTCCATAAGGGGTTTCCAATCACTGATAAATGTAGTTGCTGATCTTTCTCTAATCAAACACGTTAATTCTGCCATCTCTGCTAGTTCTGTCATCTTCACCAACCATTCCTTGGTGGTGGGTATTTCAGAGTCTTTCAATCTTTGCGCATATAATAGCCTCGCCGCAGTAATCGTATATAAAAATGATCTTCATGGCTCTTTCCTGTCTGTTAATGCCAGCAAGAAATTTTCAGCTGAATGTTGATCTTTAAAATTCTTTGTATCATTATATGTACTTGAACCCAGAAATTTTTGGCTTTTTTATAAGTCCATCAGGTATGGTAAAATAACCCTTCATGTTGTCCACATAAATCTAAAATACCTTTATACATCCTAGACAATTTTTCTGGAGTCATATACCAACAATACATCATTTTATAAAAATTTTAAGTTATAACATAATGTAAATTTCAATCCTTTCAACCACATATTTCCCCACTGTTCCATTAGTATCTTGTGTCCAAAATTCTTAAGCTATTTTATCATAGTCTTTCGCTTGTTCTTCTTCCATTTCAAAATTCAATACAAGTTTATACATTTTAGCAATTACGTGCTCATCATTTGTACATAGTTCAACTTCAAATTCTGTCTTCTGCTGCTCAGGTCCAAATGTCCCATTACCTATCTTAAATCTTTCTCTTAACTGAGGAGATGGAATATTTTAAGGAACATTTAAAAACCACAGGAAAAAAAAAATCCAAATGACGTGCTTGTTACTAGAACCCTCCTGCAATTATTGGCCTCTTCCTCCCTCCCCATAGAAAATTCTACTTATTAAGGTTTTCCTCTCCTGCCAGAACTGTAAGGTCAAGCTCCTTAATAATGTTCATTCGCGTAGTCAGACAGGAAAGGGTCTTTGTGACCTTCATTGTTCTTGCTTGCAGCAGAAATCTGGTGTTGCCACCAGATAAAGAATGCACCCCCCCTCTTTTCTCTTAGAAGGAAAGATGCAGTTCAGAATGATGGATTTCTCCTTTTCAGGGGCCATGACGTCTGGACGAAGACTAAATATTGGGAGGCCCAGGACGGGGTTGGGTAGAACCTGAAACAAGGTAGTTCTGGGAGCTGCTTAAGTTTCTGTTTCCAGGAGCTTCAGAAACAGAAGATGACACTTCTCCTGTTCTTTTTATTATTGCATGGTCTTGGTTTGCGCCAATCTTCCTGAAATCCAGTTTTAATGAGAAAAGTACTGCAAGCACATTACAGAAGTGCATTTGGTTCCTTGTATCTAGGCTCCTTTATGGTTTCTTTTCCGCTGCCGTGGAAATAATGTACAAGCATTTGTATTCTTGTACCAAGATTCTTTCTGTGCAGGGTTTCCCCGATGTACGAGTGATGTAAATCAAGGCTGCTTTTACAAAATTGCCAGTACTGACCCAATAATGTACAATATACATATACATATTGTACATTACATAATTCAGATTATTTTTGGTGATACTTTTCTGATGAACCCATGCATTCCTGCTCCCATAAAACACAACACAAAAATACCTTTGTACAAAGTTTGCCTTTTTTTTACAGAGTTCATTAATGTGTGTGACTCCCACTAGCCCTCTCGCGTCTCTCCTGCCATCTCAGCCAAATTGAAGTGCGTGCTGTCCACAGGCAGCCCGGTTATTTTGACAAGGAGAAAATTTCACATCTGTCCTGGCAGTACACACGCAATACTAAAAATCAGATCACTACCAGCCGCCCGATCATCCGTTACTTGAAGTGGCCACATCACTGGTGGTCTTGTCATCTTTATGAATTTCTCTCATTCCCTCTTCGCGTTTGGGTGTCCTTCACTATATTTACTGGAAGTTAATTCCACAGGTTAACAATATTATGAGAAAAGGACCTTCCTTTTGTCTGGGCTGAATTTCCCCACCATTCTCCTTTGCTGGATGACACCACTGTCGGGTTTGTATATTGAATTTAGCAGCTGACAGCTGCTAAAGTAAGTATGCAGGCAAATTGTTGGCTGAGCCTCCAGGACTTGTTATGTTCCTAAAACCATGAAGGAAGGATCATTCCCACCAGATTGTCTTCCCACCATATTTCCTTTCGGATTGTTTGTGACTAAGGATTGTGAAACCAACTGATGGCGCAGGCATCAGTTGAGTAATTATTTTGCCATTGTGCAATCCTGCTTTGTTAGTTGTGTACTGGCAGAGGTCTAAGTAATGCTGGAAACCCTTCATTTGTCATTCATCTAGCCACGATGAGCCTTTCCTGTTTGTTTGAACTTTTGTCATCTGTGTATATAGTTATATGGGGATTTGGTTGTGATATGTTGAAATGTTTCTTGGGGGTGGTGGGTTTGATTGGCCCTCCACCTTTTTCCTTTCTAATGACTCATAAATTGTGGCAATATCTGGCTCGCCCTCTGATGTCCTGAGATAAAAATAATAAAATGGAATGGAACAAAAGCCAGGATGTATTTAATGGGACACATGCTCACGCACTCTCCCCAAGAAAGGAGAAAAGTAACTCAGTTATGGCAGATGTCCTTAGAGCCACTATAAATAATATTTTACAAGTCTCTGTTTCCTCCCCAGAGTTTGCAGTGGTGGGGAGCGGGAAATGTCTGCTTGGTCTTCCTTTCTCCAGGCAGAGGCCCCAAGTATAGAAAATGCCATTGAATGCCCCAA